GCCGCGGACCAGCGGCGGCAGCAGCAGAAGCAGCAGCGAGAGGAGCGCCGGCAAGCGCGGCATGACCTGCTCCGAGACGGCCGGGGCGCCTCTGCTTCGCATTCCGCTCCGAGAGAGCGGCGCAGCCACCGCGCCCGCCCCGTGGCCGCTGATTGGCCGGGCCTGCACCGCGGGGTGCCCGCCGGCTGCTGCCCGGCTCGGGACCTTCCCGGCTCGATGGGCTCCCGGCCTGCGCGGGGCTCCACGCTGGGAGGATGTCACCATCCACCTTGCCCACATCAGATTGGCTCTTGGGGAAACTGAGACCCAGTCCCGGCAGGAATTTGCCCGAGGTCTCTAGAGTAGTCATAACTGGCTTTATGCTTCTTAATCCTCCCAGTTTATTTTGCATTGCTTTCAGAGTTTTATTTTTAAAAGATAATGTATGGTTTTAAATGTCATTTTACAAACAGATGAGTGATGAAATAGAGCGTTTCCCTTCAGGTCTGTGTCCCAATGCCTTCAACCTGGCTTGTAGAAGCCACTCTTGCTGTCAGGGTTTTGGGAATCTTTTCAGGAAGTTTCTGTGCCTGTAAAATCATGAATGACTGTATAGTCCTTCACCCGCTTTAAGCACATACCCATGGAGCTACGGAGATACACATCACTCTGTACTTGCATTACATACGTGGTGTCACCGCTTCTTATCATCCCTGAAATTAGGTCCCTGTGGGACAATGGGAGCACAGCCTAATTGGCTGTGTGTGTTTCCTAATGCTACGTTAAGTTATGGCGTGTGTTACGGCCAACAGTGACTTCGTTGACGATAAGACAAGATGATTCATTGGAGTTCATGTGGAGTGACCTGGAGCATTTTAACTTTGCACGGTGTTTAGATGCGCAATATTGGAGTTATTTAACCAGTTGTGTCCATCCTTTTGTTGCTACAAGTAATACTCTGATGAAGTCCTGGGGCACAAGTGGCCATGAACCTGTGGCTCAGTGGACAAAGCATGTTAGAGAGATGCAGATTCTTGTGGTCACCTAATCGTGCATGCGCCCTAGCCCTGCATGGAGGGAGTCTTGGTTGCTGGCATTTGATGTGTGGTCAGGTGACCACTGCTGGGGGGGTGGGGGAGGAACAGCTGACCAGGCTTTGTGGGAGTCTTTTCCTACCTTTTCCTCTGTCACCTGACAGGGTGCTAGGAGGTCTCCCCAGAGAGGAGATGGGTACCACGCTTCAGCCTCTTCTTCCACAGAGTAAGTTTGTAGATTTTCACCACAGAAAAGCATTTGTCAGTGAGCAGCACAGACACATTCATTAAGCAGAATCAAAGACGCACACATGCAGGGGTCTGGGCATTTGAAGGGTGAGTGAGGCACGTTTCAGTCTGGGCTTCCGGGTACATATTTCTGTGGTCTTCAGGGTGTCATCGGGAAGGATGATGTAGGATGTACATTCATAGTGTGTCAGGCTACCCCTTAGTGGGCTACTTAGAGTGCAAAACATTTGCATGTGTTTGAAGTTTAGAGCTGTGGTACCCAATTAACGGTGCTGTTTCCTCCGGGGTGGAAGTCTGTGGAATTTGTGAGTCTGTGGTACTTGAAGAAGGGCAAATTTACAGGCACAATTTACCGGAGAAGGCATGGGTCCAATTCATAGACTTACTGTAGCTTTTAAAATTCTTAGGGATTTAGGAATGACTAGCTTGGAAGGAAAAAAACAGGCTTATGGTGAAAAAAAGGCATTGCAACCTTGGGTAACTTTGTATCCTGAAGCTGCAATTTTCTTACAAGGAATTTTAAAATTACAGTTTTTCTGGTCTCCCCTACCTATTGCTTCTTCTATCCTACCCTTCATTTGCCCTGTGCTTTTTTCCCCTCTTTTCTGATCTTGAGATGGAGAAAGACGCTCAGTGCCAGGGAAGACCAGTCCTTAGATAGTGTACATTTTGCTTTCTGAGCTCAGTTCTCTCCCAGTCTGCCGTCTTTCAGGGGATGTCATTGTCACCAGAAAGGAGCCTTTCTGGAGGCCACTTTATGTATGTGTTGGTCACTCCACCCACCGAGAGCAGGGAGGGTTGGCACCGTGTGTGCGAGAAGGGAAGAAGGAGTGGTGCGAATGCACAGGACCACAGTGCTGATAAAGCCTCTGCACAGCTTTTAGGACTTACCAGTGCTTACTGCCTACCAGGCACCTGCCTTTATCACAGTGGCCTTTTAGCGTGTTCACACCCCCTGACCCTTGATGCCCATCTGTAAATCTTTCCAAGAAAACAGTCACTGTGTGAAGACTTCATCCTGGTGTTGGTCACTAGAGGATAAACTGGGAAACAATTTAAATGACACTGACAGGCATTATTAAATGAATTGTGGTCCACACAACAAGAGAGGATTATGTGAGCCCTGAAAATGAGGAAGGAAATGTAGATTAGTTGAAATGAAAAGATGCTTATATTATTTAGTGAAATGGTAACTATAAGACACACATCTAATATGTCGGAGTATTTATAAATGTGTAAATGTTTTACATACAAAATTTTTAAGATTGTTTAACAATGTGAAGAAAACATTTACAAAAATTTAATAGTAGTATATGTTGGGAGTGTGTGATGATTCCATCCATTGTGGGGAGTTGGTAGAGTAAGTCCTTGACTTGTGAGCGAGTTCCGTTCCATGAGAATGTTTGTAAATTGGATTCATTTGTAAGTCCAACAAAGAGGATCTCACACACCATAAAAAACAATTCTTTTATGAGGTCAGCTGATATCTGTGAAAGTTTGCAACTTGAATGTTCATAAGTTGAGGACTTACTGTACATGTTATAACACCTTAATTCTTTTTACTTCCCTTTGAAGAAAACCTTTATAATGTTAATGGAACACAGTGGAATTTGGAAATGAAAGAAAAACTCCATGCTGCTTTCCAGGACATCCTTCCTGGTAAGTCAGAACTTTTTTAATGGTTTATGGTTGTTCAAAGGGAGAACAGTGCCTCACAGGTAGTGAGCTCCTTGTCAGTGGAGGAGTTCAAGGATGAGTCTCAGCAAGGTGCATGCAGCCTAGTCAGCCTAAGAGTTGAATGAGATGATCTTTAAGTCCCTCAGACTGAACCACCATTCCCGTAGTATGAAGCCTTACCCTGAGATTAGGACAGAACACAACACAGCAAATATGTACAGGAATTATTTACTTGCTTTTTATGCAGACATTGAGGGACCAGTAACTGTATGGTACCATTATCATGAAATTAATTATGCAGGTTTGGAGGTACAATCACACAGAGGCCATTTACATATGATCTACATTCCTTTTAAATAGTAGGGAGAGCATTATATATGCATAATGAATGACTCAAAATGAAAGCAAAAGACTTCTTTCCCAGCCCTGAGCCAGGAACATCAAAGTCCTAGTATCTGGGTGGGAAAAACATTCCAAAGCTTTGAACGTGATCAGCAGCGTCTAATTCCCTTTTAAATCACTGGCCAGCCCAGAGCCCAGCAGATATGTCTGTTTTTTCCTTCTCTCTGGTTTCAAGGGTGCCAGTTAACAATGTGGACCGCATGGGGTGGGGGTGGAGGGATGGCATGATGGGAAGCAGGGAAATGAAATCTCCCAGCAGGGAAGGGGGATAAAGTCCCATGCACCCAGAGAAGTGAGTTAGCAACAAGGATGGGCGTGACTTCCTGCCTTCTCTGCTCAGAGGCTGGAAACCAACACAATGCAGGGAAGACTGGCTCGTGCCCCACTTACAATGGCTGCCATGCACACCTGGCAGCTGCTGAAGTGGGTGTGACTGTCCATTCATCCCTCCTAGCATAGACATAAGTGGCAGGTGTCCCTGTCCTCGTGGTGCCCTCAAGCAGAGGAAGACAGGAGCTCAAGCGAGAAGAGGCCTCTCCATAAAGAAGCCAAGCATCTGATTCTCAGTCTACTCATAGACAGCCCTGCTCCAGGCAGAGGGGACATTAGATCCCTGTCCTCAGAGCAGAGAGAAAGGTGAATTTCCAGAAGAATATCCTGTGAAGGATGGGCTGGGATTGTTGGGGACAGATTCTGAGGGAAAGCACACTCCAAAGATGGAAATTCGGGGGCTGAGCAAAGGATGATAGGGAATTTTTCCTCCTGTGTGAAAACGATAAAACTGAAACAGCTATGGGTATGCACTGAACAGTGTTCTGAGAGGGCCATGGTCCTCGAGAAGACAGCATATGAGCCTCACATTTTTCTTCCTGGGCATGTGTACCAGCTTTGGTGCAAGGACATGGACCAAGCAAGTCTTCCAGGTCCAGCTGGACAGAGGAGGCAGAGATGTCAGAGTTCAGGACAGGGGCAACCAGGAACTGGAGATACAGGACATAAAAGAAGGAGGATCCACCAAGCGGGAACCCTAGAAGTCTCAGACTTTGGCTAACTCTATAGTATGAAATTATAGAGCAGAACTTGGGGACCTGGCAGAGGCAGGCTGCTGGGGCTGAGGTAAGTAGAGATTCGGGGCTCACGTAGTGCCTGTGGAGTTCAGGCCCCGAGGACCCCTGCTTCAAGCTCAGCTGTTCTGATCAGCTGAGCAGCACCCCACTGAAGAGGTGAGTTTCAGCCCCAGGCATCGCCTCCTGTGTGCTTCGAAGTTCAAATCACTCGAGAGACGTATCGACTAGTGCTAGGAATGGTCCTAGGAAACAGCCCTTGAAGATGAATCACAACCAGAAATGTAATTAACTCTAGTAATAATGTGAATTTTAAAACTGACATCATTAATGCATGTATAATTTATATTTATAAATTTCATATAAACTATAAGATAGTACATGAAATCCATTTCTTATGGCTACAGGGTCAAGACTGCTGAAAATGACAAGTATGATTTAATTGTATGAGTTGCAGAATTACAACATGAGTTGAATTCACAGCCTCGCCACTGTGCCATGTGACAGGAGGTCAGTGAGGAGGAAATGAGAACTTGAGATTTGGGTGAGCTGCCTGGGCGGACTCTGATGAAACAGAGAACCCCGAGCTCTTGAGTCGCTCTGAACCTCCCTTGTCCACCAGGTCTGATTTGTCCATCGTGTCTTCCCCTTTGGTAAGAAGGTCATCTTGGAC